TTTTATGCAGTTGCCGTATTTTTCAAACTGTCTTAGATCTGGATTCAGAAGCATATAAAGTGAGAGGCTGTTCATAGTGTAATCCATATCACACAGATAACTAATAATGATAATTAATGATACTTGTTTTAGCTGAATGATAGGGTCCCTCGACTCATCCTGGTTCCCAACCTGGGGTCGCCAAAAATTCACAGGGCCTTGTGAGGCTTTTTTGATTTTAATGGGTATAAGAAAACTTTTTATAAAGTATACAGTCAGCCTATTTCAAAATTAAATTCATTTTCCATGAAGAAAATCAAATGAAGTTAAATTATTTTATTAAAATCCTATCATAAAAACACATGTCTTATCCGATATTCACAGGATATAATCTGCTCAAAACATGTGCAATGACTTTCCAAACTGTGACAGAGGTGTTACTGCTAAAATTTAGTTTGTGTGTTTAAAAATCAAATCACGATGAGCTACTGTACAGGTGAGTTCTGATGTTACAGTAAAACCTTACTGCTGACAGTTGTCAGTTTTATTTATTGAACCAAAAATTTAATTCATTAAAAGCTGTTATTTTGCTTTAATTAGGTGAGTTTGCTCAGAAAGTGCACATTTTCAGGGGTTTTTAATGCTCTTTCAGCCAGTTTACTGGTATGCTCAACTGGAATCTGTCTCCCAGTGTACTTGTGAGTCAATCTGTGAGTCACTGTGAACTGTGTTATCATTTCAGCTTAAACTTGGCTTGCATGCATTTCCCATACCGGTGCATCATGGGAATACACTGTTGACAATGAACAGCAACAATCAAGATAAAGAGATCAAGATAAAAGCAATATAATATATACAGTATATATGAAGAATACATGAAAATAGAATATTAGATAAATAACACTAAATAAATATATCTATATAAAAATAAAAAACAAACATTACCATCCTGCACAGAAACAAGGGGTAAAAACTGCTCTTTTGTTTGAATCCAGTGTTGCAAACCCTTCAGCAGTAGGCCACTCTAGAGGGCACTGCAGGTCTACATCTGAAAGTCTACCAGTCCCCACTCTGTCCTCCAGGCTCAAGTATAACATTTCAGTGTTTGTGTACACAACAGTAAAATAAAAATAAGTCATCTTCTTCTGTTGTGTTCAATTCGATCAAAGTAAAGGTACACTTCTTAAAGCTCACACAAGGTTTTCTGCAGACCTACAGGTTTGACATACCAGCTTAATGCATCTTCGAAGCTGACATTTTGAGTTGAAACGTTGGCCTAAATGAATTTGTTATGCATTCAAACTGAGTCATGGCTACAAAATATCTGTGAAAGTAAATGATTCTCAGCTAATGCCAGAAATTATAGACTACCATAAGATGTGGTACTTCAACACTACATCTTGACAATGTTGGATCTGTAAGGAACTATCTGGAGCTGTAAGGTTGAACACAACGGAACAAAATACTAAAACTGGACTTGTAGGAGTGAGTTTTGTACCTCAGAATTGGTTACCTGAGAGCTTAGCCTTAAGGACCATCACCACAACAAAATGTACGACTGTAATGTCAAGAGAAAACTGATGACAAAACATTGCCATAATTATACAATTAAGTATTATAAAGAAAGAGAGTAAATTATTCAGCAGTGACCTTAATGGACACGGACTGTGTTCAAGTACTAACTGGTACAATTATTATATCCATTAAGCATTTGGGAAAGCACAGATGCTCAGAAATGAAGGTCAGCCTGTGTTGAAAATTGAAATAATCACAATTCCATTAGCAGCCCTGTGTATGGGCTGGTGGACGTTAGAGTGGAGGGCTTTTGGAGGCACTATCCTTAATGGTGTATTTTGAAACATAATGTAAGTGAAAGGCTGGAGTTCTCAGGAAACCGTACTCTGTAAAGTGACTATTTTCATACTCTAATGTTAGTCTGTACTGAAGCTTATGTTGACGCTTTATGTGAAAATATGTGCAAGGACATATGTTTTTTGTATTAAAGTGCTTAAAATCTCCCTAAAAGAGTTGAAGGAGAACAGGGTGTGATAAAGGTGAACCCATCCATAGATAGAAGGACTGGGAGACTCTAAATGTGATTAATCCCATACTATCATGATGGTTGAACTATTTCTTACATATGTGTTAGAGTCGAGCTGGTTAAGCAGGTTAGGACATGCCACATGTACCTTTATGCTAATGGTGGACTTGTTAAGGAGACAAATCTGCACTTGAACAGCAGGCCATCAGATCTGGATTTACCCCCAACAGTAATGAACAGATTCCTCTTAGTGCATCAAATTAGCATAAACATCCATTCACTGAATAGTGTGAATGGAAGGTAGAGTGCCAAATGACTGTCAGAACTACAGGCTCAATGCCCAATTAGGTTACGGATTATTACATTTACATTTAGGTAGTTTGTTTACACTCTGATTCAGTGATTTACAACAAGGCACTAGGACAAGCTTTTACTACACTGCAACCAAAAAAAGGAGACCAAAGGTTTGGGGGTTTTGCAATGTGACTTAGAAGCTATGATGCAAAAAAAACTGGAAATTAAAAATAAAGCTTGCCTGTGTTTTCATAAGGTTATAATTAGACACCCAAATGCATTATAATTGAGCTAGAACCATTTTTTTTTTT